AGGGTCTTTAAAACAATGTTTCACTCTTCTGAATAAAGTGCTTAAAATCAACAAAAAATAAATACAGTGGCATCTTGTAGTCAATTGTGCAATGATAAAGCTATGGTCTGACATAGAATAACATTTAAGAAATTCGATTGTTTCTACTAATACACTCAAGAATCACTTCAATGCATTTGTAGATTACTCTCACAAAACTTTATAAAAATGAGAAAGAAGGCATATAAGTTAGTAGTTTTTCTTGGTCATTTTTTATATTAATGAAATCTAAGATTTTTTTTCATGCCTTTGGTAGCTTCTCATCCTTTATATGCCTCGTGGGTTGATCCTTTTACTTTCTAACAATTGTTATCTTCAGCATAAACCTCTTCTATGCACACTTGTACTAATCTGGTTGCTTTTACTTTTTTTTTTTAGTGTCATTTCTGTGTCCTTTGTAAGCACGTTAGGGATTGTGATATTATGCTCCAAGAGCAGTGACTCAACTGGTCTTCTTTGTAAAAATGACTTGTTACAACAATCTTTGCAGTTCTTTTCCATATTTCTTCTGTTTGTTGTCCTCTTTCTCTTTTAGTCACAGGGATGACTGCTTAGTTGGGCTTCTAATTAAGGTTTCTTTAAATCAGTTTTGTTCTCCATTGCTTCTCTTCTTTATGAGGTAATAGTGCTCATAAGCTACCATCATCCTTCTCTGTACAATTTTATAAGTGAGTTCATATTCTAAATCCACATGCCCTTTCACCACCATCTCTCCCTGCTTGGTTAAATAAGTCAAATGTTTGTTGACTAGGGAACTCTTTAGGTTCTTTCGGTCTTCTTGTTATGGCCATTGATTTATATTAATTAAATTTCTACATGCAACCATTACAATCAGTGTTGTTGTCTTTTCTTATATCCATTACCAATGAGGATAAAATAGCACCTGCTTCCCAGGGTTGCTGTGAAGACCAAGTAAGATAATTGTAAAACACTAATTAGCACAGTTCCTCGAACACTGTTGTTGTTCAGTTGATTTTTAGTCATGTCCAACTCTTTGTGACCCCATTTGGGATTTTCTTGGCAAAGATAATGGAGTGGTTTACCATTTCCTTCTCCAGCTCATTTTACAGATGAGGAAACTGAGGCAAGCAGGGTTAAGTGACTTGCCCAGGGCCATACAGCCAGTAAGTATCTGAGGCCAGATTTGAACTCAGGAAGATGAGTCTTGGCCCTCTATCTGCTGTGCCACCTAGTTCTCTTCCTGGCACATAGTAAGCACTGTATAAATGTTAGCTATTATTAGTAGTAGTAAGTAAAAGTTTACCTTAATTCTCTTCTTTGGGTTCTGAAGCATGGGAGAGTAAACCTCCCCCAAATGATAAAGGGGGTAAATGCTTCTTTCATCTTCATGTAACTCCTCCTTGACTCCAGGTTGGGATGAGGCTGTTCCAGCAGAACACCGCACAGCTCAATCCAAATATCACTGTGACTTCTGGCCAGTCTAGGAACCTAATGAACTTCCTCTGCATCTGGCTTGTCCTGCTACATATCCACATGGCAGCAAAGGCACTGGAGGTAAATAATGTGTGTGCATGGCCTGGGGAAGTCTGACTTAAAAGGAATAAGGGCATCCTTGTAAGCGTTGCTTCATTATTTTGAAGGTGTGCTTTCCCCCTTAGCAGAGGGGGAGGTTTTCATTGAGAAGTGTTCCACCTGTTTGTTGTGTGGCTTAATGGCATAGGAATGGGAGGTCCTAGAAGGCAGGCGCCACTTGTCCATGATCTCACATCGCCACAGAAATCCGTGTATGTTGTGAATGCTCAGTAAATGTAAATCAGAAGGATTTATTACATAGAACATCCATAGTTCTCTCTGTCCTCCCTTGTCTCCCCAAGAAAAATAATTACAGCATGCCAGTTCCCTCTCCTGTGTCTAGGGCACTGAGAATGGCAGCAGAATCCAGACGTGGCTCCTTGCACTTTAGCGGGACCAGAGAGTGGACAGAACAATAAGAAAACCACATAGTTTGGTTGGCAGGTATTTAGAAACCCAGAAGAGTTCACATTCAGGTTTATAGCCCCGCCAACTCTTTAGCCAAGGTAGAAAAAAGCAAAAATTTATTTTGAAAGTAATATTCTCAAACATCAGAAATTAAAACGGTACAGCATATAATCATAGATATTCTTTGTCAGGACTACTTGATCATATTGTAAAATACATAGTTAAAGGTGAAAATTGGATGGATGCACAGTACTGGTTAGCAAATTCACGATTTGCTTATCATGTATTACAGCTTCATTGAAACAAGAAATCCTAAAAACATTTTCTGCCAATTGTTCTTGAAATTATTACATTGGTTGCATTATTAAATAGAGAGCAGGTTTTTTTTTTTCCATGTGGACATCAAACCCTCTAGTATTCTCAATCTCCTTAGGTCTATTTTACATATTTGCAGTAAATGACTAAAACATGAATATGGATTTGTGCCAAAGACTTTGCAATCATCAATAAAGGAAGGTTAAATTAAAAAAGAAAGAAAGAAAGAAACCCTGTCCTGGCAGAGTGATTGAACAACATGACTTAATAGAGTTTTCATTTTCTAATTGCTGTGATTCAGTGTGGGTGGAATAGACACTTCTCCTCACTCCTTTTAGGAGACTGTGGGATTAGATAACATTCACTTTATTTTCTTCTTGCCCACTGGTTTGTACAGATCTGTCTCTCTCCCTCCCTGTCCCCCCCACACGCATACATACACATACACACATAACCCAAGGCCCTCATTATATGCCTTGGCTCTTTCCTACTTCCACGACCTTATCATTCCAGATACAAATATGCCAAGAAACGAAATGAGTAGATGCTATTCCTTGGCTTACAGATGAGCAAGCAGCCAGCAATGACCTTTATAAAATGATCACTAGGGTTACTCCCCACATTAAATTTAGAGAAAAATAGGAGAGTAATTGGCTATGCAGTAGACAGGGGGTTCAGACACAGGCAAACGGTGTCATCTTAGTTTTGCCATTCCTATCCCCTCTTCTCTTCCCCTGCCTTTTAATCTTTTCCCTCTGTTCATTCTTTCCCTTTCTGTTACTCTATTTCCTTTTCCTTCTTTTGTCTTCTATCCATTAAGTTGCAGCAACATTAAAAAAAAATGATTGGATATGACATATGAAACACCCCAAGGGAAACATTGAAAACAAAGTGATTGTGTGTCTGACACAGCCCCAGACTTTATTATATAAGGACTGGAAGAACTGGTGTAGAGTGCAGAAAGCACTGGATTTGGGATCTGATATCTTAGTGTAAACCTCAGGTCTGTTACCTAAAAGTCACTGAATCTCTCCGGGCTTCAATTTTCTTGGTTATAAAACAAAGAGGTTGAACTGGATGATCTTTAAGATGTCTCTCGGCTCTAAACTCCATTCAACTGGAATCATCATCATCATCAATAAAATATATATAGTGCTATAAATCCAAAGGCCTTAGGTTCAAATCCCAGCTCTGCCACGTGTGACCATGGGCAAAGTCACTTTACCTCGCTAGGTCTCATCTGAAACATGAGGGCCTTGGATTAATGGCCTCCAAGTAATATACATACAGTACTTTGGAAATCTTCACAGGATCATAGATTTAGAGATAAAAGCGACCTTAGAGGATATTAAGTCCAATGCTCTTATGTTAATGGGGCAGCGAGGTGGCCCAGTGGATAGAGTGCAGGGCATGGTATCAGGAGGACCAGAGTTCAAATTCCACCTCAGACAATTACTAGCTGTGTGACCCTGGGCAAGTCACTTAACCCTGTTTGCTTATGTTTCCTCATCTGTAAAATAAGCTAGAGAAGGAAATGGTAAACCACTCCAGTATCTTTCCCAAGAAAATCCCAGATGGGCTCACAAAGAGTCTGAAATGACTGAACGACAATAACTACATATATCATCTGACTTGATCACAGAATATTAGAACCTCAGAAATCATTTGATTCCACCCTCTCATTTTTCAGATGAAGAAACCAAGGCATGGAGAAGGGAAATGAGGTGTTCAAGGTCACATGGCCAGCCAAGGGCAGAGATGAGCTGAGAAACCAAGTCTTCTGCCTCTTTGTATGTCTTATTCTCTGCTGCACCAAATCGCCCCTTGTAACAACTGGAGAGCAAATCTATACTAATGCCAAGTCAATGTCTGCTGTGTGCTTATAATTTAAGGGCTGTGTTTAATTATTGGGAATGAGAAAGAGGCTAAATGCTGGGGACATAAAGAAAGGCAAAAAGCAGTCCCTGCCTCCAAGGGGCTTGTAGTCTAGTGGAGAAGACAACATGCAGACAACTCTACAGATGAGATGTATAACAGGATAAACTGGAGGTAATCTCACAGGGAAGGTAGTAACATTAAGGGGGATCTAGAAAGGCTTCTTGCAGAAAGTGGAATGTTAACTGAGACCTGAAGAAAACCAGGAACCTAGGAGTCAGAAGTAAGGAAGGAGAGCCTTCCAGTGTAGGGAGCAATCAGTGGAAATACCCAGAGTTAGGAAATGCAAATTTTTTTTGGTGAGGCAATGAGAGTTAAGTGACTTGCCCAGGGTCACACAGCTAGTAAGTGTCAAGTGGCTGAGGCAGCATTTGAACTCAGGTCCTTGTGACTCCAAGGCCAGAGCTCTATCCACTGTGCCACCTAGCAGCCCCCAAATGCAATGTTTTGTACGAGGAACAGGAAGGAAGCCAGTATCACTGTATCATAAAGGATAAAGAGGAGAGTAATGTGTATGTAAGAAGATAGGAAACATAGGAAGGGGACAAGTTAAGAAGGGCTTTAAAAGCCAAACAAAGGATTTTATATTTGATCCTGGGGGCAATAGGGAGTTACTGGCAACACCCCAAAACCTATGGGCTTTTAATTCTGTCCCCAAGGAAAATGAGACCAAGTTGGTCACAAGCTGGTTTTATATACTTAAAGGAAAATCACAAAGTCACCAAATGCACACGCACACTCCTAGAACAACTACCCATGAGTGTACTTACCCACGTATCCTGGAGTGCCACACGCCGTAGACATGACATCTCCTTTGCCTTCCATTTTGGACAACCCAAAGTCACTGATCATGATTTTGGACTCCTCATCCTGACTGTAGTACAAAAGGTTTTCAGGCTAACATGGGGGAAGATGCAGAAAAACAAACATAAATATTTTATATATCTGGGTTAAGCCAGAGAGAAGACAACATTTGATACTTGAGGACAAACATGGTAAATTCTCACTCATAACAGTTTAAGATTAAACAAGGCCATTAAATTATGAAATATATAACAGGTTTGAAAGCTAGATCTTTCTTTGGGTTGGTCTGTAGACTTCCTAGAATTACTCACTTTTTAATAGTACAGTGAGATAGGTGAGAAACTGTTCATTCAATTCCCACGCTAGCTAAAGAGGAATCACCAAGCAACAAAACCACCTTTCAGTTATATCTTTGCTTTTTAAATGGTGAGACCATGATGATGATCAGGAGGAAGAAGCATAATTAATTATCTGTCATGCGATTCTATTTGTTTTTCCGTCCCCAAGTGTCTTTTCTACTTCTGGAGCTGCCACTGAGAGAGATAAGAAAGTGGCATTTATTGGGAGGTCTAAATGATTATCAAAGATTTAGAAGGAATGAAAGAAAATGCATTTATTAAGTGCTTACTGTGTGAAAAGCACTGTGTTCAGTGCTGGCAAAGCAGATTTAAGAAAGGACAGTCACTGCTCCCAAAGAGCTTATGTTTTAATAGGCAAAGACAAAGTATGTAGGAAGGTGGAGCTGCATAGCAAATGCAACCATTTTTTCCTAATCCAGTTTATTTTTCCCCATTACAATTCAAGCTTCTCAAGAGCAGAGATCCTTTCATTCTTTGTACTTGCCTCAGCAGCATCTAGTACAATGATTGGCACATAATAGACATTCAATACATGTTAGTTTATTAATTGATGATGTTAGCATTAAAAATGCATTGAATAAATAATTAACGATGCTGTTCATTTGTACTAATCTCAAAGGGAACAATGGGTAAAATCTGTACTTTGGGTTGAACTTTCTAACATTCTGTTGGGCTAAATTAGATTTTCTTTCCTTTCATGATTTCCTACCAACTTCCACAATGGTACCAATGTGCTTCCCATTCACTGTTTTTGTTGATAAAAAATTAGGCTGCTTTTTAGGTAGTATATTCTAGGGAAGAATAAAATAATCCTGTATAAAGTGCACATACTTGAGGCAGAGAGAAAGAGAAAATGTTACACTAGAAAAAAATATTAGGGACTCAAAAAAAAAACAAACCCCCACTACCCTACTCCTTACTCTCCCATTCAAATGGAATGTCCAGTATCTAAAGATATCTTTTGCAATGGCTGGAGGCTTGTTTTGCTTTTCAATGAATAAACACCACTGGTCACCATTTTCTGAATATTTTCCTAACCTGGGCTCACAAAGAAATCCACTGTGGGAAATGGGAGTACTTGCTTTCCTTATCCTTGTGTATTTTAAAATGGGATGATTTCCACTTCCTAACAACCTACCAGGATACAAAAACCATGTAAAATGGGAGTTTTTTTAAAGACTGGAGGAGAGATACATTGCTACCTCTTATGTATAATTATAATCTTTGTAATTTGGGATCAGGAATTTAAGTAGATTAGTTTATTTCTCTCAGAAGTTTATGAAAATTTCATAATCCAATCTTATCCTACTTCACAGAGGCCAAAACCCTTTTTGGGGGATTACAAAAGGACTCTAAAGTGGCAGTGTTCTACTTTCAGCAATTACATGCTGTGAGTTTGATGGTCTGAAAGCTTCTGTTCAATCCAATCCAAATTGGAAACATTTCCCCATAAGGACAATGTGGGAGTGAAATACAATATATATCCCATACTGCTCAAGTTTCTGTCTTTCTAAGAGGAAATAAATGTTACCCACCATGATATGGCCTATTATTCTCCTTAGAAATTATTTTAAATAAGTACCAATAATCAGCCCACTCACTCTACTCCTACATGGCTACTAACTTGGCTCTTAAAAGCTGCCTGCTGTATTTGGAAAACACAATCTGATGGTGGGAAAATACTTCCAAGGTACATAGGCAATGGATGGGCTTATTTGGCTCAGTGAAGGATTTAAGAAGCCCTTGAAGGCACGATAATCCTTCTGAAATCCTAAGAAACCTATCAAGAACTAGCCCTGTAACCCAGCTCCCAAAAGTTACCAAAAGTGCATATTGCCACAGCCAGTAAGGGAAGGGTCATGGAAGGATAATGAGAGACAGCAGAGACAGAGACATAATGTGCATGGGGAACGTACATTCCCATGGAGCCCTGAAAAACTAAAGACTACCATAATTTCCTGCCTTTGATACAATCTCAGGGCACCTCTTAAAATTTGATTTTCTTGGCTACATAAAATCCGACCCTAGGTAAATTAACGTCCCTAGCCCTTGTTTGCATCTGTAAAATGGGATTATTGGATTCAACTTACAAAGTCCCTTCCAGCTCTACACCTATGATACTATGATCTTATGTTTTTAAGAGATGGTGTGGCATAATGGACAGCCAGCCAGCCTTGAAGTCAGTAAGACCTGGTTCATGTCCTGCCTCTGACACATACCAGCTCTTTCACTCTGGGCCAATTACATAACTTCCCAGGGTCCCCAAGCAATTCTATGACTATAAATTACAGAACCAGTACTGACCTGTACCGATTGAAGAGGAAGTTTCCTCATTAGGAGCTCTATACATTAGAATAAATAAATTATAAATAAATAAAAAACAATTTAATATTCAGTCCACTAGACTGTAAGGTCCTTGAGAGTAGGCACTGTCTTTTGCCTTTCTTTGTATTCTCAGTACTTAACACAGTGCCTGGTGCATTGTTGTTTAGTTATATCTGACTCTTTGTGACTCCATGGACTATAGAACACCAGTGCTGTCTATGGATTTTTCTTGGCAATGATGCTGTTGTGGTTTGCTATTTCCTCTTCCAGTGGATTAAGGTTAAGTGACTTTCCCAGGGTCACACAGCTAGCGTGTGTCTAAGGCCAGATTTGAACTCAGATCTTCCTGACTCCAAGTCCAGTGCTCTGTCCACTGGGCCACCTAGCTGCCCCTGCCTGGCACATAGCAGATGCTTAATAAATGTGAGTTAACTGACTATACTGGCCTTAAAAATCTACAACTATGTAGAGTATGGTGTTCACCTACAATATGAATATGTTAATTATGACAAAAGTGGTGTGACATTTTACCACTTAGCCAATTAAGAGAAATGGAAATTACTTCTCATGAAACAGCAAGGGGTTACAGCTTATAAGCTTATAGCTTTCATTCTGTTCATTACCACCTTTAAAAAGTCCCATCCCTCCACCGAGAACCATTTCCTTTGACAATGTACTGTAAAATGGATGGGACATGCCAGGAAATGATGACCTTACCTTGAGGTCCCTATGTACGATTCCCATCCTGTGGAGATAATAGACTGCATCCAAGACCTGGCGGATTAGAGTACTGGCATCTTTTTCCGTGTAAAATCCTTTCTCCACTATTCGATCAAAAAGCTCCCCTCCGGATACACTGTAAAATACCACAGAGCAAAAAAGGCTGCATGAGAGTTCCTGCTGATTTTTGCTGGGAGTGGGGGAAACCATAGATATAAGATCTAAGTATCATTTCCAAAGTGCATCTTTTTTTTTTCCTCTGATCATTCTCCTATTGTGTCTAAGCTTTTATAGGTCATGGTTTCTGGGACACAGGGCGTGGATTTCCAAATAAAAGCAGTGAAAACTAAAATATGTTCTGTGATTCAGCCCAGCCTATGAGGTGTCATTTTGCCTTTTCCACTACCTTATTTGGAGGGCAAATCATATAGATGTAAAATTGCAAGTGATACCATGACCCCTCATGATACTGGATGACTGATGAGAAAACATGCATTACAGAGAGGGGTGCATTGAGGGTTCAGGATGAGACATATCTTCTTGTATATATACACGTGTGTGTGTGTGTATACACACACATAGAGCCATTGAGGGAATTTGTTTTGCTTGACTGCATATTTATTACGAGATATTTTCTTTTTCCCAGTAGGGTAGAGGTGCACTTCTTTTGAAAGAGAGAGGTGGGAAGGGATGCTGCAGAAGAGAAATGTTGCACCTCTTTCAGATGAGGTCACTATTAATTAACTGTTTTCCTTTAAAATTTTTTTTATAAGAGACCTCTCACAAACTGGAAGTAATCTGGAAATGTATATAATTTAAAAACAAAACATAAAAATAAAACTTAAAAAAAAAAACCCCACACATTAGCAAATGGTGTCCAAAGTCTTCCCTGCTTCCTATTGCATCTGCCATGATGTAGGCCAAACTGGACTACTTGTCATCTCTTGGGAAAGGGGGAAGCAGAATAAGCATTTTTTATGATGCCTACTGTATGCCAGACAGTGTGCTGAGTGCTTTTTACAAATATTATTTCATTTGAGCTTTACAAGCACCCTGGGAGGTCGGTGCTATTATTATACCCATTTTACAGTTGATGAAAATGAGGCAGACAGAGGTTAAGTGACTTGTCCAGGGTTCCATGGTTAGCAAGTGTCTGAGGCTGAATTGGGAACTAAGGTCTTCCCTACTCCAGGGCCCTATCCCCTATCCATGGCACCACCAGCTGCATCTTGTAGGCATGCTCATTGTCTTCCACATCTTTGTGCCATTTCCTATGCCAAAGTATTCTTTTCACCCCTGAACCACATCCTCTGTCTTTTGAAATCTTGCCCATCTTTCTTTGTTTTTAGTTCAGTTCACCTAAATTAAGTTTAAAACACATCGATTATTGCTGGCTTTATTCAAGGTACAATGCTAGGTGCTGTACATACAAAGTAAAAATCAAACTGTTCGGGCAGCTAGGTGGCAGAGTGGATAAAGCTCTGGCTTTGGAGACAGGACTGGCCTCAGACACTTGATACTGACTAGCTGTGTGACCTTGGGCAAGTCACTTAGCCCCATTGCCTCACCAAAAAAAAAAATCAAAGTGTCCCCTTTCTCAAAGATACACCATGTATACAGATAAGTAAATACACACAATAATTTTGATAGGGGAAACAGTTAATCAACAATATTTATTAAGCATTTACTATGTGCTAGGCAGGGTGCTGGAAAAAAAAAGTCTTGCTCTCAAGGAAACAACATGTATACACACAGAAACGTGACAATACTGAACTCTTCGTGGGTCTGGAAAGTTGGAATTTTGCCCCATCTTTAATGTCCAGTTCAAATGCCATTTTTTTCACATACTGGTTCCTTCAGTTAGACTATCTTTACTTACTTGAGCTTCCATAATCCTTCGTACCACTTATAGGAGCTTATGTTTACATTGTATACCTGTTACTAGAGTATAAGCCCCATGAGTGCAGGGGCTTAAGAGCTTAATAACTGGTTTTGGAAATAAAGTGAAGATTGTTGATGGAGTTGTGAACTGATCCAACCATTCTGCAGAGCAATTTGGAACTATACCCAAAGAGCTATAAAACTGTCCATATTCTTTAATCTAGCAATCTTTGTATCCCAAAGAGATGAAAAAAAGGAGGGAAAGGACCTATTGGTATAAAAATACTTATAGTAGCTCTTTTTGCGGTGGCTAAGAATTGGAAATCAAAGGGATGCCTATCAATTGAAGAATGGCAGAACAAGTTGTAGTATATGAATGTAATGGAATACTATTATGTTATAAGAAATAACAAGCAGGATGATTTCTAGAAAAACCTGGAAAGACCTACAAGAACTGATGCAGAGTGAAGTGAGCAGAACCAGAAGAACATTGTACACAGTAACAAAAACATCATTCAATGAATGACGTGGATACTCTCAGCAACACAATGATCCAAGACAATTCCAAAGGACTAATGATAAAACATGCTATCTGCCTCTAGAGAAAGAACTGATATTGTTTGAATACAGACTAAAGCATACTATTTTTTCAGTTTCTTTAATTTTTTGTTGTTGTTCAAGTCTTTTTATACAAAATGACTAATATGGAAATATTTTACATGATTGTACATGTATAACCTATATCTGATTGCTTACCATCTCAGGGAGATGAGAGAGCAAGGAGGGAGGATAAGGATTTGGAACTCAAAACTTAAAAAAAAAAATCAGGGGCCTCTAGGTGGTATAGTGAATAGAGCACCGGCCCTGAAATCAGGAGGACCTAAGTTCAAATCCAGCCTCACAGACTATATAATACTCACTAGCAGTGTGACTCTGGGCAAGTCACCTAACCCCAATTGCCTCATCAAAAAAAAAACACATTAAAAAAGTGGCTTATGTAATTGGGGGAAAATAAAATATTTTTAAAAAGAAATAAAGTGAGAACAGGGATGGAGAATCATTGAATAATATAGGTAAGAGAGTATCTAAACATGACTTTTGCATATTAAGAACTGTGGCAACTATAAAATCTAAAGTAGAAAACAATAACAGTGTGCTATGTCTTAAGAATATTTTGGTAAAAACAAAACAAAAACTGTACCTCTTTCAAAGCGCTTAGCCATCCTGGACAAAGATAAAAAGAGAGGACCACATTCACATTATTATTAATTTTTAAGTCCAAACTTTCTATGAAACAAAATGAAAGAGATTCCATTGAGTTACTGAAGCCGCAAAATTGCTTGTAAATAGCTCAAACTGTCCTAATAGGTAAAATAAAAGATTTTCCTTAGGAGTAACACAGACAAAAAAATTAATGGATGTATTTTCTGCAAGTCATGGTAAATTAATGGGTAATAAATAACACATTAAAACCTTGTTTTGAAAAAAACAACTAATGAAGGGAGAAATAAATGATTGCTGCCATAAAAATACCCAGGGGCTGGGGACTTTTCCAATATCTGATCACTTAGGTAGTTCAGCATATAGTCATTCTATAGCAATATTCTGAGTGGGTAATGAGATGAAATCACTTTCCATGGAAGCTGGGAAAATGAGTAGGAGGCATGTTATTGTTGCGATGGAAATGATAAATGATTTAAAAAGTAAAAAGAAATTGAGAAAAGACACAAAATAACCATCTTTGCTACTTCATAGACTTGGGTTATTTTAAATGTCCACTTTCTAAAACAGGAATTTTTAACTTGGAGGTTGTAGACCCCCCAAAAGGACTATAGATAGATTTTAGAGGGTTTTGTGAACTTGGATTTGAAGAGGATACATTTTTATTTTCACCATCTTCTATTCTTCAGTTGTCTTTTTAAAAAAATTACTCTGACTAGGCATCGATAGGTTTCACCAGACCAAAAGTTGGAGGGGCGGAGTATCTAATAACATAAAAAAAAAGGTTAAATATCTCTGTTCTAAAGTAAGGTTAGGGTATCCATTAACAATGGGCACAGAGTTTTTTGTCCCTCCCATCTCTCCTTTATCCAGAGTCCTGTCAAAAGCAGTCTAATATCCGGATGTTTCCAAAGCTCCAGATTGCACTGAAATTGGATTAAGGTACAGTAGATACCCCACGAGGCAGCTGTTGGCTTTGGGTAAAACCATGAAGCCAGCCAAGTTAGCTTTTAGCTTACTTGCTGCACTCATTCTTTCCCCATTTTGGGAGGGGCACCTCTCTCTCTCCCTAGGGTCCTCATGCTGTTTGCTTGACAGCTCAGTCAGTAAACTAGTATTTATTAAATGCCTTCTTGTGCTAGGCTCTGTGCTAAGCCCTGGGGAAGAAAAACAAGCAAACATATAAAGCTAGTCTCTGCTCTGAAGGAGCTCACAGTCTAATGAAGGAGACAACATGTAAACTATTATGTACAGACAAGATATGTACCTGCTAAATTGGAAGGAAGGATCTAGGATGAAGGAGAACTAGGGAATAAGGCTTCTGCTCAGGGCCTTGTCCTGCCCACTATGCCACCCATTCCCTTCCTCACATTGGCCTTACACTGTGCTCCATACTTTCCCAGCTCCCATCCCCACATTTGGTTAAGCGACTTGCCCAAGGTTACACAAAGAATGAGTAGCAAAGCCAAGATTCAAGTCCAAGTGGTCTAACTCCAAACTTTGCACTCTTTCTGCTATTCTCTGATACCACAGGTGCTTTGAGAAGAGGGGATACAGGAGCTAAGGAAGAATGAGGAGAAAATGAGGCTGATGACTTGGCACAGCTCTGCCTCACTTAAATCTAATTCAGGTGCAAGTCAAGATGTCACCCTCATGATGGCTTTGGTCCTCTACAAAAATGAAATATGAACAATGACAACAAGAATGGTAAAGAAGGTGAAAGAGAGAGCAGGGAAATCCTCCTGCTCTTGAAATCACTTTGGAATTGGGTGTTGATTGCTGTGTTCAAAAGTATGAAGGTTTTTTGAATTATACTTAGCTAGAATCCTTACCTTTCTCTGATATATGGATTAACTTTTTGCTTACCATTCATTAGGAGGGATAAGATACGATACATACCCTATTATGTCGAATATATAATGTTTTCATTCTGAATGGTGTCTTGGTACTCTCAGCTAGAAGGCACGTAAGTTTTTTGGGGACTTTTTGAGTATAACTTAATATTAGTCTACATGAATATGGAAAACCTGGGAT